CAAGCATGTGAACTAGCTGATATAAGATAGAGAAACCAGGTTGATCAATTTGAATTACCATATTAAATTTGTCAGCAAATCTGTGGATCCTCAGTTACTTTGGAAAAATCCCTGACTATGCCTCCCAATTCAGCTTTAGTCCAGGGAACATAAGAAATTGAGGCTTTTGCTCTAGCTGGTTTGGCTCAGTGGATGGAGCGTCGGCCCGGTCAAGGGCATGTACATTGGTTGTGGGCACATTCCCGGTGGGGGGTGTGCAGGAGGCAGCTGGTCGATGTTTCTCTCTCATCGGTGTTTCTGGCTCTCTATCTCTCCCCCTTTCTCCTCTCCGTGAAATATCAATAAAATATATATTTTTTTAAAGTCAATAAAAATATTTTTAAAAAATATATTTTATTGATTTTTTTTTTTACAGAGAGGAAGGGAGAGGAATAGAGAGCCAGAAACATTGATGAAAGAGAAACATCGACCAGCTGCCTCCTGCACCGGGGATGTGCCTGCAACCAAGGTACATGCCCTTGACCAGAATCAAACTTGGGACCCTTCAGTCCGCAGGCCAACGCTCTATCCACTGAGCCAAGCTGGTTTCGGTAATAAAAAATATTTTTAAAATATTTTTAAAAAAATAAAAGGCTAATATGCAAATTGATAGAACAGCAGAATGACCAGTCACTATGATGCACACTGACCACCAGGGGGCAGACACTCAGTGTAGAAACCAGGCTCATGGCTGGCAAGCACAGCAATGGCTAAGGACCCCTGGGGGAGCAGGCTTACGCTGGCAGGCAGGCAACCTGCCTCTGGAGGAGTCCTGGACTGCAGGAGGGCACAGGCCAGGCTGAGGGACCACCTCTCCAGTGCACGAATGTTGTGCACTAGGCCTCTAGTGTCATAATAAATGTCTGTTCCCAGAAGGTGTTTCTGTGAAGGCTAGACGGCAAGAAGTCCACATGTAGACTTTATAATGATGGCCTTCAGTGGCACCTGGGGAGGCCACTTAATGTCCTTTTTGGAAGAGGATTATAAACAGGTTCTGGATTGTAAGCTCTATGAAGGCTGGGACCATCACCACCCTCAATTCCTGCGTCAGAGTAGGGGCTTACTATTTTGTCTCCTCCTTTTATCTCCAGTTTTCAGGGCTTTCCTGTGTTAACCTCCAGACAGAATCTGCTTTTACTCTGGGCTCGATTTCAGGGCCTGCTGAGACCCCTCTCTTTAAGCCTTACTCTCATGGGGTCTTCTACTCAGCTATTCATGCTGCCTCCAGGCAGGTCATGTTCTGGAACATGCTGCTAAGTTTCAAGTTTTATCCTTTTCCCTGACTTGGGATGTGGGGATGGGACTGAGGAAAGAAGGTCTGAAGGATCCAAAACACAGAGATGGAGCATGGGAGTGCCCCTCAAGGGGAGGCTGCCATCCAGCACACAGCCTGGCCTCAGTCAGAGCTGCCTGTCCACAGCTCTGCTGGAACTCAGGTGGACCTCCACTGAGCCGTGGCTCAAGGACACACCAACCCACAGACCACCCTACTCTTGCCTAGAGTCTGGCTACCACTTCAGCCATCCCTCCCTCCAGAAGTGGTCTAGTTTGGGGAGCGGTCCTTCCTCTGTGACCAGTTCAAACCTGTTTCTCCCAGTACAGGTACCTGTTGTGGTTTAATTCATCCACACAGGTGAAAAGCCCATCTCCTGCCCATTGCGGGCGATGCTGCTGCCAGAGGGCTGCCCTGGCCATTCACACTGGGGAGAAGCCCTCCCAACGCCCAGACTGCAAGAGTCATTTCGCTGACCCCTAGGTGCTGGCCATCCACCAGCACAAGCACACAGGCAAGAAGCCCTACAGCCGTCCTAAATGCAGCTTCCGTTTTGCCTACAGGTAACTCTCTGCTGGCTCCCCACAGGTGCACACACAGGCGAGAAGCCCTACCCCTGCCCTCACTGTGGCCTCTGCTTTACCCACTCTCCTCCTCCGTCATCAGCACGTCTGCTCTAACAGCCAGCTGAGTGTGGGGAAGGCTTCAAGCGCAAGTACGGCCTGGAAGACCATTAGTAGGTCAATCCTTCTGACAAGAGCCCAAGTGGCAGCAGCCGGTAGTGGGTCTCAGAGCCAATCCTGTTTTGGGAAGCCAGGATCCCCAGTTAATTTCTGGTACTTTCCAGATCTACTTCAAGAGGGTTAGGTGATAGAGCTCACGAGATGAGTTTTCTCTGGAAAGGAAGAGGCAAGGCTATGTTTGCAGGATAAGGAGAGGAAGTGGGCACGTAGGGGAACAAAGCTCTGTGTGAGGAAAAGAGCAGAGGGGAGGGGCCAGGGAAGGCCCTTTGGAAGAGGAGCTGCACTCTGAATGACCGTCGGAGGACTGAACCGGTGTTCTGAGGTTCCGGCTCCCACTTCCAAGTCCCAGTTGGGGTTACTTCACTGCAAACCATTCACCTGGCTTTTCTTTCTGGATTGTTCTCTCCCTTAGAGCATTCCGGTCTGTATCTCCCCCGTTCCTCAGTCATGGGGTCCATTAGATGTGAAAACCTATTAAAGAACTGGTACCCTCTCTAGAGATGCACTGGAACAGAAGGCACACTTTGGGCCTGCCCCTCTGAGGGAAGCTCACACAAGGATTCTGCCTTTTAATCAGGGCAAGGGAAGTACCAGGCAGGCAGACCCATGCAGTACAAGCCGTTGCTGGCACTCTGGTCTCACAGAGATACAGGTGGCCACAGAGAAAAAGGCTTCAGGTGGGGCACTCTCCTGCCCCAAGCTCACTCTGCACACAGTGTGCAAAAGTATTAAGCATAATGAATATAAATATAAATTTCCCCCAAAATATTTATGAATTAGTGATTGCAGTATTTTTTCTTCTTCACATATCAGCATGTTTCCTGGATTTTACATCTTCTCTGTATTCTTGGGCCACAGCATCTGGAAATATATAATGCTAGGGACTTAAAAAAAATAATTACTTGAGCCCTAGCTGGTTTGGCTCAATGGATAGAGCGTCAGTCATCCTGTGGACTGAAGAGTCCTGGGTTCGATTCCAGTCCAGGGAGTATGTCTGGGTTGCAGGCTCAATCTCCAGTAGAGGGCGTGCAGGTGGCAGCCAATCAATGGTTCTCATCATTGATGTTTCTCTCCCTCTCCCTTCCTCTCGAAGTCAATAAAAATATATTTAAAAAAATAAAAAAGGAATGAAGTGTTGATTCATGCCACAACATGGCTGAACCTTGAAAACACTACATTAAGTAAAGGAAGCCAGACACAATAGGACAAATATTGTATGAGGTACCAGAACAGGCAAATTCAGTCAGAAAAATGAGAAGTTACCAGGGACTTGGTGAGAGGGGAATAGAAAGTGACTGCTTAATGGGTTCTTTGTTGGTGAAGAAGCATTTTGAAAATTGATAGTAGTGATAGTTGCACAATATTGTGAATACAATTAATGCCACTGAATTGTGAACATAGAAATGGTTAAAATGGGCCCTGGTTGGAGTGCCCTCCCATACACCAAAGTGTTTGCAGGGGCCCTAGCTGGTTTGGCTTAGTGAATAGAGCCACTGCCTACGAACTGAAGGGTTCGGGATTCATTCTGGTCAAGGGCACATGCCTGGGTTATGGGCTCCAGCCCCAGTGGGGTGATGTGCAGGAGGCAGCCAATCAATGATTCCCTCTCATCATTGATGTTTCTATCTCTCTCTCTCTCCCTTCCTCTCTGAAATCAATAAAAAATATAATTTTTTAAAAAAAAGTTTGCAGGAAAAAAAAAAAGTTTGCAGGTTCAATCCCCCATTGGGGCACCTATGGGCAAACACAAATGTTCAGAGCAGTACTAGATAAGAGGTGGAAACCCTAATGTCTACCTCCGTCAACAGATGGACAGTAGGATATAGCCATACAATGGCTTATTACTCAGCCATAAAATGGAACGAACTACCGACACATGCTAAATAAAGACAGAAGTCAGAAGGAAAGGCCACACATAGTGTATAGCTCCACTGATATGGAATATCCAGGAAAAGCAGATCTAGAGAGACAGGAAGCAGATTAGTGATTGCTGTGGGCTTCGGGAGGGGAGAATGGGAGTGGCTGTTCAAAGGGAAGGTAGGTGGTTTCCTTGAGGGTAATGCAGTAATGACTGGTTTACTTCGTAAATGTACTAAATGCCACTGAATTGTAGTTTTAAATGGCATAGTGATTTATGTGACGTGTATTTTACCACAATAAAAATTTGTGCAGAAGGAAACATTCAGGGGTCACGTCAATGTCCTATATCTTGTTGGGGTTGACTGATGGTTAATATGGTTGTGTACGTTTGTCAAAACTTGGCCAATTTTACACTGAAGATCTATCTGTGCATTTTACTGTGTGTACAATGAAGTTAAAATGAATAAAAAGCTTAAAGTAAAAAAAAAAAAGCTTAAAGTAGTTGCCTTTTGGAGTCGAGAGGGAAAGGGTACAGGGAACTGATTTTTTCATAACAAAAGCTTCTAAAAAACCATATGCATTAGTTCATTTGGAGAAAAAGAAAATATAACAATTTCTCCATTCCAATTAGAACCTCAGCAAACATTCCTTCGCCCGCAGCTCAGTCGGGGCGGAGGGAGAGCGCACGGAGGGGGGCCCCGCAGCCCCGGACCCGGCTCCTTCCTACCCCGTGGCCCCTCGTCCGGCCGGGGCTTCCCGCGGAGCTGGCACCGGCCCCGCAGCCGGGAGAAGAACGTCGGGCTCAGCATCCCGAGCTCCACAAACGCCCGTCCCAACCGGTTCCAGAGCCAGGCCGGCGGGGCGCGGGGCGCGGGGCGCGGGGCGCGGGGCGCGGGGCGCCTCCCCAACGGCCGCCCGCCCGGGCCGCGGCGCCGCCTCCTGCGCGCGGGCCAATCCCCGCCCGGGCCATCCATCTTTCTTGAAGGCAAAAAGGCTCCCCCACGACTCCCCTCCGCCCGCCTTCCCCCTCGAGCGGCCATTTTGTTTGAGGGCAAGCGGCCGGGCGGCCGGGAGGCGGCGGCGCCATGTTGGCTGCGCTCCGGGGAGCCGCGGCCGCCGGAGCCAGGATGTGGCCCTGTGTGGGGACGGCGCCTTCCGGGTCACCCGGGTGCCTGTGGCCACGCGGCCGCGAAGTGAATAAACACCGAGGGGCCGGGGGGCCCCTGCCCGAGCCCCCGAGTCCCCCGCAGCCCGTCCCCGCGCCCCCGCTCCCCTCGGGCCCGGGAGAGCCCATGGCGCCGCCCCCGGCCCCGCTGCCGGCGCGGACCGCGGGGGCCGCCCGGCCCGGCCGCCGGGAGCCGGGCTCCGTGAGCTTCGCGGACGTGGCCGTGTACTTCTCCCCGGAGGAGTGGCGGAGCCTGCGGCCCGCGCAGAGGGCCCTGTACCGGGACGTGATGCGGGAGACCTACGGCCACCTGGGCGCGCTCGGTGAGCCGGGTCGGAGCCCCCTTCGCCGGGGTTCCCAGAGGATAGAGGGGCTCGGAGGTCTGTGAGCCCTGACCGCGCACCGTCCCCCAACACGCCCCCCCACGCCCAGGCCGCCGTGCCCCCCCGCGTCCGCTCCCCGCGGGGGAGCCGGAGGCTGGGCCACGTGGGGCTGGTCCTGAGGGCGCGCCCTCGCCGGGCGGGGCTGCCGTCCTCCCGCAGCGTCTCAGCTGCCCGTGACCTTCTCTCCCAGGCTTCCCCGGCCCCAAACCAGACCTCATCTCTTGGATGGAGCGGGGCAGTGAGGCTTGGAGCCCGGCCGCCCAGGACCCCGAGGGGGCAAGCGTGGGAGGAGCCCTGCGAGGTGAGGGGCCCCCAGGTCTCCCCACCTGGCACTGCTGTCACCTTCAGACCCCCCTCCCCTCCCAGCACCCCTGCGGGAACAAGGAGGCACGTGTGGGTAACAGGGAAGGAGGCAGACCAGGCACAAAGTTTTCACAACTCGAGAGTCATCGTGTTGAGACCAGAGTAGGGAACTCAGGAGCCCAAATCCAACACTCAGGTTTCCAGGTCCTGGTGGTAGAAACACCAGCCAGGCCCCCTTTTTAGGAACTAAAATCCCCTAAGAATGGGTGTGACCTCAGACCCGCCTTTCACGTTCCTCCAGCAAAGCGAAGTGATACATGAGGACCTGCCCAGCACACAGCCTGGCTCCCCCTCGCCGCCCCCCGCAGCGCGGGCCCCTCTGAGGCGGAGAGAACGCCTCCCAGCCATGAGCTCCTCGCGCTCCCGCTGGTGTGCCCGCCCGCAGCCGGCACAGGAGTCACCATGACTCACTGGTGACACGCGAGGAGCCGAGGCCTGAGGGATGTGGTCGTGTTCACTGTCCTTCAAACCTGCGTGTGGATCACCGCGTAGAGTTTCAATGGCACGTCTGTCTTTAAGGGAAAGCACCCTACAGCCCGACTGTTTTTGGATGTTTTAGAGAGAGGGAGACTAAGCAAATGTGTTTGAAAATGTATCTTCACTCTGGATGCTTATTTCGCAGGAGGCGCCCCAGACGACGAGGAGGAGGAGGAGGAGTCCGAAGCGGAGCCAGGAGCCCAGGGACCCTGGAGGACTCCCGGGAAGGACCGGCCTGCGGAGCTGGTGAAACTCAACCCCGACGGGGCCCTGGGCAAGGCCTCGGCCAGGGCGCCGCCGCCCCCGAAAGCGGCCTGGGACCCGCGCGCGGGGCCGCCCCCGGGGCCCGGCAGGGGCTCGGCCCGCCAGCGGCGCCACGCGTGCGCGGACTGCGGCCGCCGCTTCACCTACCCGTCGCTGCTGGTCAGCCACCAGCGCATGCACTCGGACGAGCGGCCCTTCCCCTGCCCCGAGTGCGGCATGCGCTTCAAGAGGAAGTTCGCGGTGAACGCGCACCAGTGGACCCACCGCTCCTGCTCCGGGGGCCGGCGCGGCCGGAGGCCGGGCATCCGGGCGGTGCCGCAGGCCCCGGTCCGCGATGACCGGGACCCGCCCGTGCTGTTCCGGCACTACCCCGACATCTTCGAGGAGTGCGGGTGAGTGGCTCCCGCGTGTGGGGTCGAGCCTGACCTCGGCGATAAAGAACGACTGGGCCCTGACGCCTACATCAGGGGCTTGGGAACCCAGATTCACCTCTTGGGCTTCCCTGCAGGATCCCTCAGGTTCTCCCACATGTAAAAAGGAAAGTGCCTGTAAAGATTCAACTAGGCTCAACTTGACACTCCTCTCCCCAGTTTTCCAAAAAAGTGAGCGAGACGCTAGACTTTTCTCAGTGCTGTTTCAGTAGCAGGCGCAACCAAGACCTTTGCTGTCTCAAAACCACCCCCTGCTGCTTATCTGCCTGAGAGGTAAAGGCTGGGGACTGAGGCCTGGGAGAGGGCCCCGGAGGGCGGGGTCAGGCCGGCCTAGCTGAGCCACAGGGAGCCGGGGAGCGGGAGTTGGTGGACAGCGGGAGTGGGTGGACAGCGGGAGTGGGTGGACAGCACCGAGCGGGTCTCTGCACAGGCACAGCTGGTAAGTCTCGCCCTCCCAGCCTCACTCCCTCATCTGTAAAATGAGGATTATTAATGTCTACCTCAAGGGAAAGGGTTACTGTGAAGACTGAAATTTAAACAGTATAGTATGTATGACATAGTAAATGTGCAATAAATGTGTTGAAAGAGTGAATTATGGACATTTTACACTCCAGAAAGGCTAAGGAGGCAGGACATGAATATCAATAGCCATGTTTTGCAGATGAGTAAACTGAGGCTCAGAGATTAAGTGATTTTTTTCAACATTTCATTGCGTTAAGACAGCAAAGCTGGAAACTGACACTACCACTTTCTCTGAGCTGCTTAATGGGTTCTGGGTTTACTTTTTAGTGAGCAGTGAGTAGAATACAGGTCCCGCTCAGGTAAGAGCTGAGATCTGGGCAGGAAGCCAGCAGGACAGCAAACAGCAACTACAGGAAAGGTTTTTTGGCCGTGGCCAGCTAGCTCAGTTGGTTAGAGTTGTGGTTGGCAAACTCCTTAGTCAACAGAGCGAGCCGCAGTTTGCCAACCACTGGGTTAGAGCATCATTCTAATATGCCAAGGTTGTGGGTTCTATTCCCGGCCAGGCCACAAACCAGAATCAACCAGAAATACATGGGTAGGTGGAACAATGGGTCGATGTTTCTCTCAATGTATCTTGTCCTTTCTCTATCAATAAATTAATTTTTTATAAAAAGGTATCTTTGTCCTTACTTCCCAGCCAGAGAGTGGCCGCCCCTTGGAGAGGTAGCTTCTCAGGATGCAGGGCCCATCCCTGCCTGTCTGGGAGAATCTCACAGGAAAACGGAGCCTGCCAAAGCCCGGGACTTTCTTTCTTTTTTCTTTTTTCTTTTTTTAAAAATATATTTTATTGATTTTTTACAGAGAGGAAGGGAGATAGAGAGCTAGAAACGTCGATGAGAGAGAAACATCGACCAGCTGCCTCTTGTACACCTACTACCGGGGATGTGCCCACAGCCAATGTACATGCCCCTGACTGGAACCGAACCTGGGACCTTTCAGTCCGCAGACCTACGCTTTACCACTGAGCCAAACCGGTTTCGGCCAAAGCCCGGGACTTTCACTCAGAAAGGTACAGCCAGCACGCAGTGACCTGCTGGAGACAGCTAGGTGATAGGGAATCCCAGGCTGAGGAAGGCTACTCCATGCTGTCATTCACAAGCCACACCTGAGGCCTCTGGGTTTTTGTGCCGGGCTCCAGGGACAGGCTGACCCAGAAAAGAGTGACCTGATTGAGGCTGTGGTGAAAGCTGTGCCAGAGGCCCCACCTAACTGTACTGGTTGACGATGCCCCAGGAACTGCATCTGGAGAAGGAGAGGGCTGTGCTTCCATAGCACCGGGTGGTGATCCCAATGTACCAGAGGGTGATCACATAGCACCGGGTGGTAATCCCATGGTACCAAGTGGTGATCCCATGGTACCAGGGAGTGATCTCATAGCACCGGGTGGTGATCCCATGGCACCGGGGGGTGATCCCATAGCACCGTGTGGTGATCCCATAGCACCAGGTGGTGATCCCATAGCACCGTGTGGTGATCCCATAGCACTGGGTGGTGATTCTATAGCACCAGGTGGTAATCACACAGCACCGGGTGGTAATTACGCAGCGCTGGGTGGTGATTGCTGTGCGGGGAGATTTTCAGGCAAAGCAGCAGCAAGGAGCCTTGTTTTTCGGAAAGGCTATAAACGGACACCGTGTGGAATAAAGGGAAGAGCCTGGTCTCTGGAGCGGACTGTCCGGGCACAGGTCCTGACTCACCTGCTTTTTAGCTGTGTAGTCTCAGGCAAGTTACTTCTTCCCAAGTCACCTCTCCGTGCCTTAGTTTCTTCATCTATAAAACCTAGCTCATAAAATTGCTGTAGGATTAAGTAAGATAATGTAGAAGATTACCTTGCATATTAGCATTTAATAAACACCGGTTTTTATTACTCTAATCAATACAAAATCATGTGTGAAGAGGACCAAGAGGAGGCCTGGGCAGGTCTTCTCCAGGAAGGTTTCCTGGAGGAGGAGGTGTAAGTTAGCCTTGAAGGATGAGAAGGATGAGAAAGATTCCAACCAGGATAGACGTGGGTAAGGAACAGTAGTATGACTGAAACACAAACAACTAGGTAATGGTTCTGGCCGGCGGGGCTCAGTTGGAGTGTCGTACTCATACACCAAAGGTGGAAGGTTTGATTCCCAGTCGGGGCACATACCCAGGTTGCAGGTTCCATCCCCAGTCAGGGTGGATCCGGTAGACAACCATAGATATCCCCCCCCCCCCCCCACTTCCTCTCTCTAAAACCAAATTTTATAAAATGTTCACCCAAGGATGATTTTTTCCCCATTGATTTTTTTAGAGAATTTTTTTTTTTAGAGAGAATGGAGGGGAGACAGGAGGTGTTGAGAGAGAGAGACACCAACTGGTTGCCTCCTATTCACACACTGATCAGGACCAGCAATCAAGCCTGCAACCAGATATGTGTCCCTGATTGGGAATTGAACCCAAGACCCTTTGGAATGTAGGTCAATGTTCTAACCACTGAGCAACCAGTCAGGGCTCTAAAACCAATTAAAAAGAAAAGAAGTAGCCGAAACCGGTTTGGCTCAGTGGATAGAGCGTCGGTCTGCGGACTGAAAGGTCCCGGGTTCGATTCCGGTCAAGGGCACGTACATTGGTTGCGGGCATATCCCCAGTAGGTGGTATGCAGAAGGCAGCTGGTCAATGTTTCTAGCTCTATCCCTCTCTGTAAAAAATCAATAAAATATATTTTAGAAAGAAAGAAAGAAAGAAAGAAAGAAAGAAAGAAAGAAAGAAAGAAAGAAAGAAAGAAAGAAAGAGAAGTAGATAATGAATATCAAAGATGCAGCAGTGAGGGGGATGCCAAGCTGGAAGAGCCAACAGATCCCAGCAGAAGAGCTTAAGGATTACCCGGAGGAGCCAAGGAAAGTTCTTAGCAGAGGCAGGTTGTTTAGTAGGTTCTTTGGCTCTGTCTGGTGTGGCTGGTCATCCGTGGTTGGGGGTCATCCGTGCACCAAAGATGCTGGTTCAATTCCTGGTCAGGGCACGTGCCCAGATTATGGGCTTAATAGGGGTGTGCAGGAGGCAGCCAATTGATGTTCTGCTTGCACATTGATGTTTCTCTTTCTCCCTCTCCCTATCTCTAAAAATCAATAAAGAAATTTTTAAAAATATATTTTATATTGATTTTTTACAGAGAGGAAAGGAGAAAGATAGCTAGAAATGTTGATGAGAGAGAAACATCGACCAGCTGCCTCTTGCACACCCCCCAACAGAGGATGTGCCCACAACCAATGTACATGCCCCTAACCGGAATCGAACCTGGGATCTTTCAGTCCTCAGACCAACACTCTACCACTGAGCCAAAGCGGCTTCAGCAAAAAAAAAATTTTTAAAGATGGCTTTGTAAATAGTGTAAAGTGTGATCTGTAAGAGAAGACCAGTTACTAAAGACCTGTTGGACATCTGCTCCCAGAGCTGGTCAGGAGCTGGGACCAAGCTAAAGAGCAAGAAAATCTTGCTTCCTGACCTTGGAATTGGGAAGAAAGATACTCATAAGAGGTTTCTGCCATAGTATCTTCAATGCTCAGTGACTGCCAATATGAGCTGTGAACAAGCAAGTCTCACAGGTTTCAAGCAGACAGCTGGGCAAGGGAGCCTGACTGCTGGGCAAGGGGCAGTCAGGAGTGGGAGGGTGTGAAGGCCCAGGGGTGACCCGTACTGGGGAGGGGTGGGCCAAAGAGAAGGTGGAACTGGAGAGGCCGGGGGGAGCAGCACCAGGCACAGTGTGTCAAGCACAGCCCTGTCAGCCTCGGTCAGCATGAAGCACAGGATGAGTGCCGTCTGCTTTCTCATTTATCTCTTTAACAGGAATCTAGTAAGTATTTACCATGTACTAGGAACTATTTGTGTGTCAGGATATAGCGGTGAAAATTGACACAGGAATCCTCTTAGAACTTGCCTCTGAGTGGTGGGAAGGGAGGAGACTAGTGATAAGCCAGTATATAAATAAGACAAGGCACTGTACTGCAAATAAGCACTACAAAGGAACTAAAACAGATGTGCTGAAGGTGCCTGTTGCAGATGGATACCCAGGCCGGACGTGGTAAGGATGAAACATTTAAAAAAAAAAATTATTGGATTTTTTTAGAGAGAGGGAGAGGGATAGAGAGAAACATCTACCCTGTTTCCCCGAAAATAAAAGTGTCTTATATTAATTTTTTCCCCCAAAGTTGCGCTAGGTCTTATTTTCAGAGGATGTCTTATTTTCGGAGAAACAGTATGAGAGAACTATCACATCAATCATCCGCCTCCTGCACGGCCCCCCCCTCCTGCATACCCCCATCTGTGATCAGGGAATTAAATGGCAACCCTTCAGGGCAAAGGATGACGCCCAACCAACTGACCACACCGGGGAAGGGTACAGGTCACAGCTCTTGCATGCCATGATGCAAAGTTTGGACTTATTTCTAAATATATTGGGAGGTCAGTGGGTTTTTC